TCAAATCGGTTAATCCGTGCGCCCGAAAACGTGGACGAAAAAATGCGAGATGTGCTGATTAGTTTTTGGCAAAGGCAGGTCCAGCCGTTACGGAGATTTGGAGCAAAGAGTGCAGAAAATAGAAATCAAGTTTTTGAGAGAGGATTATCCGATTTGCATGATCCAAAAAACATTCAGTTCGTAATGATGGGGAAAAGTGGTTATTAGTTTTTGGTAGGCCCAGCGGTTTCGGAAATACAGAGCTAAATGCGCAAAAAATGGCAGTTTTTGAGAGAACTAAGCGTCCGATTTAAATGATTCAAAGAACTTTCTGCTTATTTCAACAAAATAATTCCTTTTGGAAAAAAAAATTTTTGTTTCTAATTTTTTTTTCAAAAAATATTTTTGTAATTTTGGATTAAAAATTCCAAAAATCACCCAGGCTAAGCACAGTCTAAGCGCCACTCTGGTACAAATGTTTACCCAAGTGCGTTAAGACTGTTCATGTACAGGAGCACTTTTCCGATTTTGTGAGAAAACTATTGAAAAATGTGAAAATGCCGCCAAGCCAAGCACAGTATAAGTAAAAATGTCGCACGGAATTATTTGTAAATGCGTTTAGACTGTGACTATACGGGAGCAGTTTTTCAATTTTGTGCAATTTTCGGCAACTATTTTTTTAAAATTGAATTCAAAATGAAATGACGATTGTTAATGTTTCGGAGATGAATTGATTTATGATTTACATTTTATTTACTCAAAATAGCAAAAATAATGAAAGTTACAGTATTTGTAATAATATATTTGAAAACGTTTAAAATTCTTGGAATATTTCATTACGGTACGGGAAGTTCCAGCAACTTGCCTTAAAGCACGATGCCGTACACCACTAGTTTTATTTTTCTTTTTCGTGTAAAATTTGTTTCAGTTTCTATTTACTAATTAATAACCAAATCATAATTTATAAAAACACCACAACTAAAATAATCAAATATTTATTAATCCCCGAGACAAAAACATGAATAAAATCATTTACAAACAAACCTTTTATTTTTTATCAACAATGAAACCTTTATCATCACAACCACTTATTTCCTCGGTCATAATTCCGTCTGCATCTTTGTAAGATTTTTCTCCAAGCAAACCGCAATTGTGCCATCACTGCTGTCCGATTTCAATCGATCTTTGGCCAGAGTTATGTCTCTGCTGAAATACAAGTCGCCATCCTGCGGAGTTTTGCGAAACCTCGAACTGCCCCGGAGATAGAAACGTTCGCTAGATGGCGACTCTGATTTTCCATTAGGGAAGAAACTCTCACGGTTGTGCAGATGCTGGTGCACATTATGACGTGGTGTATGGTTGAAATGAGGGTTGAAAATTGCTTCACCACCTGGGGAAAAAAACACAAAGATGGATTATATATATATATATATATATATATATATATCTTATATATATATAAATGGAGCTCTCGGTCAAATGATCCGCTAAAACTCGAAAACGGCTAAACCGATTTGGCCAGTCTTAGTCTTGAAAAATTCGTGTTAATCAACAGGTTGTCGGAAAGGTGAGATATTATTTCAAAATCGCGTAGACATTTTTACATTTTTAATTTGAACATTTTTGTAGAAGCGTAATTTGAATAAAACAATGAACGGTGGCTAATACGTCAAATGTCAAATGTTTTTGATCATTTCGTTTAATAGGATGTTTTACGTGAATTTTATTTGATCATGATTAAATTGTAGTAAGTAGTTTTGTTTGTAGCTATATTTATACACAAAAACGTTAGTAAACGTTTTGACGCAAAAAAATTGACGGCTTAAAATATATATTAAAAATATAAAGCGTTGTAATACAGTTATGAAATTATAGTATGTTATTTCTTAATATTCGTACTAAATTATAAAAATATAAAATCAATTATATTTCTAACAAAAGAAACTAAAAAATTGCAATACACACTTGCATACTCTATTTTTATTAGTTGCGAAACGACGGTTGGATATGATATGAGAAGTACTTTTGAAAAATGTTTTAAAAATATACAATATTATACTAGAGCTATAAAATTTTAGTATGTTGTTACCTAATATGAGTACTCAATTATAAATATATAAAATTACATATGTTTCTAACAAAAAAGCTATAAATGTGCAATTTTGTAAACAAATACGTAAATAAGTCCACTGTTTGATGGAAATATTTAAAAACATAAAACGTTATACCAGAGTTACAAAATTTTAGTATGTTATTTCTTAATATGTGTACTAAATTATAAAAATATAAAATCACACATGTTTCTTACAAAAACAGCTATAAATTTGCAATTTAGTAAAATCATGTAATAGGGCTGCAAGTGTTACTAGAAATTCAAATTATCAACTTTTTTGAAATGTTAATATGAAAATGCACTTTTTGGCGTTGTAGCACTCTTTTTTTGCAAATCATATTTTTCTCAAACATAATGCTCTGAAAGATCTCATTTGTATAATTATATACTCAATGGCATTTAAAAAACATTTTCTATGTTATTTTATTTTTGAATTGTGTTATTTAAATTCAGAACCTAAACTTGGTATCGATCAAAGAGACATTTTGTCGAATAACCTTTTCCCAGTTATATTTTCCCAGAATTTATCGAAGAATGGATAGTAATATATGAAGGTCCGGAGTTAAAAAGGTCCACCACCGATGTGTCAAAAATCAGTAAAGCTATAAGCATTGTTTAACAACATTATTTGAAAGTAGAGGGAAAAAGATGTATAACCAGCTATAACCTTGATTCTTATGATTTTGATATCGGGATCCCGAGATAAATGGTAATTTTTTAAAATCCATAATAAAAATATTTTCTTCCGTTGGTAGTTTTTTAGCATTAGTTAAAAATGTAATTATTTTGTAAAATACCTTTAAAATTAAATTAAGACATTAGACCTCTTTGCCACCTGGTCGTTCTAAGTTACTCCGTCTATAGCGTAAAAAAGTCTAGAAAACAAATTTTTGAAAGACATCAATGATGAAGTAGCTGGTAGTTTTACTGAACGTAGTCAGATAATTGTTTGTTTCATATGTGTTATTTGTTGTCATATAACTGTTATGGTTTTCACAATATAGTTTATATTTGCTTAAAGTCAAATTGGACCTTTATACATATACACTTTTTATTAAATTTACTTTAATTCATCGAATGTTACTTGAAACTTTTCAAAAAGCAGGTCAAAGAAGAAATACTTAATTCATTTTCTATCTCTCCTCGCAGAAATTTGAAAATTTTGTATAAGCTCAGTAGTATTATTTACAATTATACACAAAATCCAGAATCCAAAAAGAATCTGAAAAACTTGAAACGTAATCAATAAGTCGAAAGACCAAAAAAGACTTGGATTAGATTATACCATGTTTTTGATAGAAAGCGTATAAAACTTCCAGTTTGATTGTATTAACAAAATATACACAAACTAATGGGGTTTATTGTTTTTATAATACCTAATTGTATATATCATTCAAACAGCATATCGTTCTTATACACTTAAAGTATTAATATATTTGATTCTCTAGAAATTGTTTAGAATATACCTTACTTAGCAAAACAACGTTTGCCGGGTCAGCTAGTATATATATATATATATATATATATATATATATATATATATATACTAGCTAAATATATATATATATATATATATATATATATATATATATACATATATATATATATATATATATATATATATATATATATATTTAATTCTTTAATTGCTTACTTTGGGAGTACGAGTGAGCCCTGGCAAGTCCTCCAGGACTATCAGTATTACCAGGATCTGCACTTGTCAATCTGCACACCAGCAAGGGCCCACAAACAGCCCTTTTGAAATAAGCTCGAAATCTGTAACAAAAATTACATTAAATTCCCTCATTGTAACGACAACCTTCAATTCTTATATAATTCTTTGTGGTTACTAGGGTTTGTCAGTTTCCAAAAACCGGTTTTAAAAACCGATTTTTTGGCGAAAATTATGCAATTCGAAAACCGGTTTTTTAGTGAAAAAAGTCGGTTCTCACTGTATAAATGGAAAATGACAAATATAGCCAAATATAAAAGATAGATGAAAGCGTTTTCATTCTTAAAATCATATCATTTCTATAGCATTTGATATCTTATCAGTCTGCAATGGTCCCAGAAAGGTTTTGTATATATTAATTTAGATTTTTATACCAGTGTATATATTAATTTAAATCAGTGTGACTCCTTCTTGAAGAAGTAACTTTCTCTACTCAAACTAAAAAAAGAGTTTTAAACCCTAGAAGCCACAAATTAAAGAACAAAAAACCTAGAATTATTATATCAGGCTTTAAAAACAATTAAGCATAATTTGGTCGCAAGTATAAGAGTATTTTATATTTCAGAAAATTTTGTGAGTAAACGAAGGACACGTTTAAGAAGCAATTCGATAGACGTTCTCAGATTTTTTAAATCATATTTTATTAAACAAAAAACAATTAGAATGTTTAAAATTAATTAATTAAAACTGCTCGGAACAGAAATAAAAGGTTAGCTTAATTGTTTTTAAAACTAAAATTGATATTAACAAGTATGTATCAACATGTATCTAATATTAATTTAATGGATGTTTTTTATTTAGAAATGTAATATTTTTATTTATTCGAAAACTTTCCTTTCACTACCATGAAAATATTTTCATTTTTATATGTGAAAATGATGCATGAATAACGAATAATTATTTTCAAAGTTTTTTAATCAAGATAAACTATTATTTTTAGTTTTACTAATTAAAATTAAAATAATTTTGTTTACTATCTACAAAATTGAACAATAAATAATTTCAGTCAAATACTGCTCTAAATTACACTAAATTTGCGGATAAATTACAGAATATTCGAGCAAAAATTTTACTTTCTATATAAAATTCGAAAACCGGTTAAAACCGGTTTTTTAGTAAAATTAAAATTCGAAAACCGGTTTTCTGAAATGTCGGTTTTTGTATAAACCATAGTGGTTACCTGTTGTTCATCCAGTAATATATTATCGGATTAACCATTGCATTACCCATGGCTAACCAGTAGAAGCTCAAATACATTTGCTGGGTATAAGGCCAGTACATCAGCGATTTATCCACATGCATGTAGACAAAATAGAGCTGATAAGGCAGCCAGCAAACTGCAAAAATGCCCACGACGGCTGCGAACATCCTGACCACCTGAAAAAAAAAATAAAACGTGGTAAAATAGACACAGATTTTGTATATTTATTAACATTCCGTAGGGTAAGTTATTGTAATCGTCCAAAAATCGAAATTGAACATTTTTACATTTCTCGACGTTTTGAAGGTTTCTGAACATTTTGGCATACCTCAGAAAAAATGGATGTGTGTGTATGTATGTATGGATACAAATTTTCGTCCACGTTTTCGGGCGCATGGATCAACCGATTTAAATGGTTCAAAAAACATTCGATTCCTATTGATAGAGAGATGTGCTAATTAGTTTTTGGGAAAGGCAGGTCCAGCCGTTACGGAGATCCGGAGCAAAGAGTGCAGAAAATACAAATCGAGTTTTTGAGAAAACGGAGTATCGGATTTGAATGATCTAAAAAACATTCAATTTGTAATGATCGGGAGAAGAGGTGATTAGGTTTTGGCAAATGTAGGCTCAGCGCTTTCGGAGATACAGAGCTAAATGTGCAAAAATGGCAGTTTTTGAATGAACTAAGCGTCCGATTTGAATGATCTAAAAAAGTTTCTGCTTGTATTGACGAAACAATTGCTTTTGAGGATAAAAAATTATTACATCTTTTTTTATTTTTCATGAAATATTTTTGTAAATTTTGATTAAAAACTCAAAAAATTACCCAGGCTAAGCACAGTCTAAGCGCCACTCTGATACAAATGTTTACCCAAGTGCGTTTAGACTGTTTATGCACTGGAGCACTTTTCCAATTGTGTGAAAAATGTGAAAAAAAAACAATTTACTGACGAGCAATGTAAAACTTAATTTTTATTTTAAAAAAGGACTCTACTGACGAGCAATAGGATTTTTAATTCTCGTTTTAAAAAAGGACTCTACAGTCGAGCAAAGTAAAATTCAAATTAAAATACAAGAAAATGGACTCTACTGACAAACAAAGTGAAATTCAAATAAAAAGAGAACAAGAAAAAATACAAGAAAAGGAACCTTACTGACGAGTAAAGTAAAATCCGAACTAAAATAGAAAAAAGGGACTCTACTGACTAACAAAGTAATATTGAAATTAAAATAGAAAAAGGGACTCTACTTAAGAACAAAGTCAAATTCAAATTAAAATAGAAATGACTCTACTAGCAAGCGAAGTAAAATTAAAATTCAAATATAAAGTGAAATTGGAAATAAAAATAGGAAAAAAGGACTCTACTGATAGACTAAGTTAAATTTAAAACAGAAGAAAGGACTCTACTAACAAGCAATGTAAAATTTAATTCTCATTTGAAATAAAACGACTCTACTGACGAGCAATGTGAAATTCTAATAAAAATATAAAAGGGACTCTACTGACGAGCAAAGTGAAACTCAAAATTGAAATAGAAGAAAAGAACTCTACTGAGGAGCAAAGTAAAATTCAAATTGAAAACAAGAAAAGCAACTCTACTAACGAGCAACGTAAAATTCGAATTGAAAATAAGAAAAGCGACTCTACTGACGAGCAATGTGAAATTCAAATTCGAATACAAGAAAAAGGACTCTACTGACGACCAGAGTAAAATTCAAAATAAAACAGAAGAAAAAGGACTCTACTGACGAGCAAAGAAAAATCAAATTGAAAATAGGAAAAAAGGAAGTTAAATTTAAATTTCTTTTTAAAAAGGACTCTACTGACGAGCAATGTGAAATTCAAATTCAAATACAAGAAAAAGGACTCTACTGATAAAGTGAAATGCAAATTAAAATAGAAGAAAAATGACTCTACTGACGGGCAACATAAAATTCGAATTAAAATAGAAGAAAGGGGACTGTACTATCGAGCTAAGTAAAATTTAAATTTCTTTTTAAAAAGGACTCTACTGACAAAGTGAAATGTGAATTAAAATAGATAAAGGACTCTACTTACGAGCAAAGTAAAATTCAAATTAAAATAGAAGAAAAGGGACTCTACTATCGAGCCAAGTGAAATTTAAATTTCTTTTTAAAAAGGGCTCTACTGACGAGCAATGTGAATTTCAATTTCAAAAACATGAAAAAGGAATCTACTGACGAGCAAAGTAAAAACCAAATGGAAAATAGGAAAAAGTGACTCTACTGACAGGCAAAGTAAAAATTAAAATACAAGAAAAGGGACTTTAATGATAAATTGATTTATGATTCATATTTGATTTGCTCAGATCAATAACAAGATAGCAAAAATAATGAAAGTTACAGTATTTGTAATAATATATTTGAAAACGTTTAAAATTTCTCGAATATTTCGTTACGGTACAGGAAGTTCCGGCAATTCGCCTTAAGGCACGATGCCATAAACCACTAGTTTACATTAATTTCTACAATATTGCACATACATACCACTACTTTACAATCGTATACATCCTAGAAAATTTCCTTAACAAACTTGAGAAAGATTTATCAAAATCCGCATAATCGTTTAGAAGGAGTATACAGTGAGTGATTGTAATTTAATATGAACTTTATATAAGAGCAGTAAAGCTCAAATTAACTCTACGTTTTGTATGAGAAAAAAAGGGCTGTTTTTAGGCTTTTCCCGTCAATTAGTCGATTTTTTCTAGCCGTAAGAACCATCCTTGGACTTCAACGAACATTTTAAAAAAAGAATTGGCCAAATCGGTTCAGGTGTTGTTGAGTTATGCGCTTACCAACACATTTTGCGATTCATTTTTATATATAAGATCCACAAAACTAATTTTTTACTATCACAAGATGTTTTTTTGGGATTTTGTGGATATCTCGGCAACGCCTTAACCGATTTTTATGATTCAAAAATCATTAGATTTATCAACATTTCTATTTTTTCTGACCTTTCGTTTTCTGCAAATGGCATCAGCCTGTCTTTGTGTGTGTTCCCCAATTGACCTGCTGCCCCACAATTCTCTGCCCATTGCCCAGTAGCATCTGGACATCCCTGCTATAGGCATTAGATAAGTCACAATAAACAGGACAACCTGATAACTAGAAAAATTACCAAAAAATAAGATAATAAATATAATAGACTGATATAATAAAATAATAAACAAGATGCGGAACGATCATGCGAATTTTGATAAATCTTTCTGAAGTTTGTTAAGGGAATTTTCTAGGATGTATGTGATTATAAGGAACTGGGATGTATGTGCAATATTGTAGAAATAAAGGGAAAAAATGTAAAAAACGACATGCCATTGTTTGCATTTAAAACAGATGAAAACTATCATCTGCCAAAAATTTCAATTTACTTATGAACCTAGACAATATTAGAATTAGGGTTTGTCGGTTCTCAAAAACCGGTTTTAAAAACCAGTTTTTTGTCGAAAATTATGGAATTCGAAAACCGGTTTTTTAGTGAAAAAGGTCGGTTTTCACTGTATAAATGGAAAATGCCAAATATAGCAAAATACAAAAGATAGATGAAGGCGTTTTGATTCTTGAAATCATATCAGTACAATAGCATTTCACATCTTATCAGTCTGCAATGGTCCCAGAAAGGTTTTGTATATATTAATTTAGATTTTTATACCAGTGTATATATTAATTTAAATCAGTGTGACTTCTTTTTGAAAAAGTAACTTCCTTTACTCAAACTTAAAAAAAAAAGTTTTAAACCCTAGAAGCCACAAATTAAAGAACAAAAAACTTAGAATTATTATATCAGGCTTTAAAAACAAATTTAATTTGGTCGCAAGTATGAGAGTATTTTATATTTCAGAAAATTTTGTGAGTAAACAAAGGACACGTCTAAGTATTAATCCGATAGACGTTCTCAGTTTTTTTAAATCATATTATATTAAACACAAAAAACAATTAGAATGTTTAAAATTAGGTAATTAAAATTGCTCGGAACAGACAATACCCGAGTTTAGCTTAATTGTTTTCAAAACTAAAATTGATATTAACAAGTATATATAAACATGTATCTAATATTTTTTTTATTTTTTTTATTTAATGAATTTTTTTTATTTAAAAATGTATTATTTTAATTTATTCGAAAACTTTCCTTTTACTATCAGAAAAATATTTTTATTCTTATATGTGAAAATGATGCATGAATAACGAATAATTATTTTCAAAGTTATTTAATCAAGATCAACTATCATTTTTTAGTTCTACTAATTAAAATTAAAATAATTTTGTTTACTATCTATTAAGTTGAACAATAAATAAATTCAGTCAAATACTGATCTAAATTACACTAAATTTGCGGATAAATTACAGAATAATCGAGCAAAAATTTATTTTCTATATAAAATTCGAAAACCGGCTAAAACCGGTTTTTTAGTAAAATTAAAATTCGAAAACCGGTTTTCTGAAATGTCGGTTTTTGTATAAACCCTAATTAGAATATGTATAATAAATTTATGATTATGAATAAGAAAAATGAAATGCCTACATTATTATTGAAACATTAAGAAAAGATTTTTGTAAAATCTAAACTTTTAATGAAACAAAATTTTATTCGCTATCATTTAGCAAATTTTGCATATTTTTTTCCCATAAATGACAATTTTATATCCTACGTGTTTTTATCGCCTCTATGATGCAAAAAACTTTTTAATTTTCCAATTCATAAAGTTTTCTTTCACTAAAGAATAATGTTCGAATACTTTAAATGCAAATTTTTAGCAAAATGTGCGAATGCTTGACAATGGAGCAAAATTTGCATTGATTTAGCTTTTAAATATGGAGATTGTTAAATAAAACTTTTGTTCTGGAAAAGACTTTTCACAGACGAAAAATTAATCTATGTAATTAGTTATTGACAAAACTTTTGATAGGGGATGTATATATTTTTGGGTAATAAATAATTTGCTAATTTTATGTATTCCTGACGTTACAAGTAAAAATATTGATGTTTTTGTGCAGATTTAATGAATTTTTCAAAAAGCAAGTTTTGTGGTAAAGGGTTACTCATTTTTTTGAGAATAAATCCTTATTACATCTTCTAAAGCGTCAAATCAATTTGAACATAATTTATATGATTGTTTCTAGGATTAAATAAAATTAAATTGTAATTTTTAGTTTAATTCAGTTTAGTTAGGATTTTATTATACTTACATATAATCCATTTTCGAGACATCTGAAGATCCATCAGGCCAAACTAGTATACAGGCTGTTAAATGGTATTTTTCACTAAAAATATAATCATAATTAAAAAAATATATATTATAAATATAATAGTTCAAAAAAATTGTTAAACTTTGACATTAAAATCTTTGTATGCTGTCCAAATGGCTTTAGTTTCAACGCTTTGGTTTAAAGTTTTATTTATTTTATTCTAGTTTTTTTGTGTTCCTATATGTTATTATATATCGTTGGAAAGTCTATAAAATTATCTACAAATCATGTAATAATAAGTTAAAAAATATATATTACAAATATAATAGGTTCAATACTAAGTTCTAAAAAACTTAAACTTTTTAAATATAAATGAGTCTAGCAAAAACCTAAAAAAAATGTAATAGGAAGCTTATAAAAATCTATTAAGAACTTCAAAAGAATCTTATAAGAATTTAGCTCAAATTAAATAAGAATGTAGTCAAAAAATATTATTTTTTGTAAATATATTACAAATATAATAGTTTCAATTCAAAACTAAGAAAATAAAACTAATACAAATTGAATAGAAATCTTATAAAAAACTATTAAGAACTTCAAAATAAACTTATAAGAATTTAGCTCAAATTAAATAAGAATCTAGTCAAGAAATAATATTTTTTGTACATATATTACAAATATAATAGTTTCAATTCAAAACTAAGTTTAAAAAAACTTAAACTTTTTTAATATGAATGAGTCTTGCAAAAGTCTAATAAAAATTTAATAGAAATCTTATAAAATTCTATTAAGAACTTCAAAAGAATCTTATAAGAATTTAGCTCAAATTAAATAAGAATCTAGTCAAAAAATGATATTTTTTGTAAATATATAATTACAAATATAATAGTTACAATTCAAAACTAAATTCAAAAAAACCTAAATAAACTTGTTAAATATAAATGAGTCTAGCAAGAACCTAATAAAATTTAATATGAATCTTTTAGTTTTTATAAAAGCAAACGCACGAAAATACAACAAGAATCAAAAGTAATGTTGCAATATTTTTTTAACATTTTTTCAATATTTTTTGTATTAGAATTTTGAAATAAACATAAAATAAAATGCAGTACCAAATAATTGGTATCTAGTACATTGCAAAATTTATAATAATATTAATAATGAAATGCTCTTGCAAGTTGTTTTCTTTGTATAAGAATATGAAATTTGTTATGTCTATTTTAATGATTTTTTATTTGAAGCTGATTAAATTATCAGCAAACTATGTAATAAAAAAATAGTAAAAATGTATGTAATTTAAATTTATTGCCCCGGGTGGATTTTATCGGTTACATTTTTCATATTTAGTATAATTATGCTCCGATTTATGTACGGTCTTATACATTGCAATATATAGTTGAAAAGTCTATAAAATTATCTACAAATCTGTATCTAAAACCATATAACTGTTAGAACAAAATTATGTAATAATAAATTGTTGAACTTTAAAATTGAAATCTGTAGCGTTCACATTATTTTAACTTTAATGCTTTGGTTTGAAATTATATAAATTTTGCTATAATTTATATAAAAACATTAATGGTGTTATATATCTTTAGAAAGCTGATAAAATTATCTATAATACAGTGTATACAATTTTAAATATATTTTTTTAAAATAAACTTTTAAATATAAATAAGTCTTGCAAAAACCCAATAAAAACTTAATAAAAATCTTATAAAAATCTGTTAAGAACTTTAAAAAAATCTTATAAGAATTTAGGACAAATTAAATAAGAATCTTGTCAAAAAATAATATTTGGGCTGATGAGAATCTTTATAAGAATCTTATAAAAACACAAAATATACAATTAAAGTAATTACATATTTTTTATGTTTTTTTGTTTTTTTCTCTTACTTGTAAACTACAGTGCTAGAATACATAAGACAGGGTATTCCCAAAATCATTCCAGCAAACCAAATTGCAGCTATGGCTAATAAAGAGCATTTTTTCGACATTCTTGGTTCTAGAGGCCTCACTATGGCCATGTACCTAAAAAAATAATATATTTTTAGTACTAAATATTTTCTTATAATGTGTAGATTATATGTATTATATAACTTTTGTGGTTTCGGTGCAAATACATACAATAATTTACCTAAAGATAACATGTGCAACGTATTGAAATTTGTGGGCAAAGTTTGCACATTTGTAGATGATTTTGTATTGATAACAATGTGCTGAGTTTTGGAATTAATGGGGATGATAATTTCAAAAGTTGTTAGATGTAGATGAGAAAATTGTTGGGATTTTAATATTTATTAATATTTCAGTTTCATATTAGTTTTATCAGTTGCACTTTATTTATATTCACGATTAATTTGTTAAAAATATTTGTAATATAACAATTGTATTATATATTTTTAAAAAGCTTATAAAATTATTCACAAGTCTGTATATAACGTTTTTAAATTTTTGAAAGAAAATTATTTAGGAAAAATAAGTGAACATCAAAATTTGTGTATCTAAATAGATTTCAAAGGTTAAATTTTTTGTATTTATCAATATTTTATTCTAATTTTTTTGTGTTCTTATATGTTGTTATATATCGTTGGAAAGTCTATAAAATTATCTACAAATCTGTGTATAACAATTTGTATATGTTAGATCAAAATTATAAGGAAAAAAATCGTTAAACTTTGACATTAAAATCTTTGTATGGTGTTCAAATTGCTTTAGCTCCAACGGTTTGGTTTAAAGTTTTATTCATTTTATTCTAAATTTTTTGTGTTCCTATATGTTGTTATATATCGTTGGAAAGTCTATAAAATTATCTACAAATCTATGTATAATAATATGTTTATGTTAGAACAAAATTATATGAAATGAAATTTTAAACTTTGACATTGAAATCTTTGTATTAAATAGAAATTAAATTGCTTTAGCTGCAACGCTCTGGTTTAAAATTTCATTTATTTTGTTATAATTTTATTAAACTTATTATGAGTATTATATATGATTAGATAGCTAATAAAATTATCTACAATCACGTATATATTTCTTTAAAATTCTTGGAATAAAATTGTCTAGAAACAACTATTCAGTCATTTGCGAAGTCAAGAAAAAGAATTTTTTTTTATGTTTTTTATCCAAAGCCTCAGTGCACAATCTCATCCAATACCTAAATATGATTTTATTCTATTTCAACTTCAATTTTTCAGACAATCGTCTAATTCTTTGTGTATAAAAAATATTTTGGCAAAGTAAACAAAAGTCAAAGTAGTAAATAATTTTATACAAATGTCTTATCAAAAATATGATAGAAAAATAAATTGTTGTGCAATGTGAAAACTTTCAATATTGAAAATGATAACATAAGTATTAAAATAGCATTTTGTAACCTGAAGAATAGGAAAATAATCACTTTAGATAAAAAGTCGGGTAGATATGTCAATGAAGACAAAAGTACCATCAAATAAAATTGCTACTGTGTTATAGAAAATTGTCAAAAAAAATCTTAAAAGCAACTAGAATCTTATACCAGAAGTTTGTGCTTATTTGCATAACAAATGTATATTTCAGACAACCCAGTTAAATATTTAGTAATTTTAAAATTTGCTGTAAAAGTAGACATATTAAAGTACACTATAACCAAGTTACAGCATTTTAGCAAAACCAGTGCAATTTTAAAAAAATATTCAACATGATATCTTCATCTTCTGATACTCAAACATATATGTACAGATCTATATATAAATGTCTGGATATATTATTAAAATAATTTACAACATGTTCTGAGATGTATATGGAGTAAAATGTGCGTTAAAACTTTTCAAAGACACTTTTACATATGTTAGCAACTCCTTTATATAAGTAAAGTGCTACTTCTCATACATCTAACTTATTTTCAACTTCAACAAAATATAATATTCTGTTTGCGACAGTAAAAGTTCTTGGAAAAGTTAAAAGACGTGTGCGCAGTATAAAAAACCTATTTGAAATGTGTGAAAATTGTTTATATATTGTAAACTGAGTTGATAGTAATATTTCTTGTGACGTCAGATAATAAAATTAATGAAAAATTTATAAAAAAGTTCAAATTGTGTTAGAATATTTATTTTAAATTATGTTGTTTAAAAAATATATTTTATGTATAGTGTTAATAATAATAAAAATGCATTACAAAAGTGTCCAAAATAATTTTTTATAAAAGCAAATGTACTCATGAAAATACAACAAGAATAAAGAGTAATGTTGCAATCTTTTTTTTAACATTTTTTCAATATTTTTTGTACTAAAATTCCAAAATAATAATAAAATAAAATGCAGTGCGATTTAGTATGTCCAAATAATTGGTATCTAGTACATTGCAAAGTTTAGAATATTATCAATAAAATTACAGTATTTTTATGTATATTACAGTAATTTTTGATTTAAAGCTGATAAAATTATCAGCTACATTTTATTTGTAATAAAATAAATACAAAAATATATAAATAATTGAAAAAAATGTATAAAATTTAAAATTAGTTGCCCTGGGTGTATTTCATCGATTACATTTATCATATTTAGTATAATTATGCTCAGATTTATGTACGATTTTATACATTGCGATATATCGTTGAAAAGTCTATAAAATAATCTACAAATCTGTATCTAAAAACATATAACTGTTAGAACAAAATTATGTAAAATAAATTGTTAAACTTTAATATTGAAATCTGTATATGTGAGCGCCTGATTTTAACTTTGAAATTATATTTATTTTGCTGTTTATATAAATACATTAATGGTGTTATATATCTTTAGAAAGCTGATAAAATTATCTATAATACAGTGTATAAAATTTTGAATATTTTGGAACAAAATTGTCTAGAAAAGTGGTTTAAACTTTTGTACTAAAGCAGAATTATATGTTTTATATCAAGCCCCAAATAAGCATTACCCTGTCCACAAATGATAAAAAATCATTTAATCCAACCAAGTGAATCACAATATATATTATATTACCTATATACAAGTTATTTCCCATAGAAAGTGTTCAATCAGGCAAAAAATTGGCCTATTGGCATAGAATAAATCCTTGTATATACTTTTCTTGTTTATTTTACGTGTTTTCGATATTTAATCAATAAATACACTTAATTAGATTTGTTTGATGGACTTTTGTTTACTTTGCCAAAATATTTTTGGTACACAAAGAATTTGAGGATTGTCTGAAAGAGGTTGAAATAACATAAAATCATATTTAGGTGTTAGATGAGATTGTGCACTGAGGGTTTGGATAAAGAACATAGAAGGAAATTCTTTTTTTTGGCTTCCCAATTTTTTTCTAGAAAATTTTATTCCAAGTATTTTTCAGAATTATATACGTGATTGTAGATAATTTTATTAGCTATCTAACGATATATAATACTAATAATATGTTTATTAAAATTATAACAAAATAAATAAAACTTTAAACCAAAGCGTTGAAGCTAAAGCAATTTGGACGCGATACAAAGATTTTAATGTCAAAGTTTAAAATTTTTTTTTATATAATTTTGTTCTAACATATACAAATTGTTATACACAGATTTGTAGATAATTTTATAGACTTTCCAACGATATATAACAACATATAATAATACAAAAAAATTAGAATAAAATAAATAAAACTTTAAACCAAAGCGTTGAAGCTAAAGCAATTTGGACACCATACAAAGATTTTAATGTCAAAGTTTAACTATTTTGTTTCATATAATTTTGTTCTAACATATACAAATTGTTATACACAGATTTGTAGATAATTTTATAGACTTTCCAACGATATATAACAACATATAAGAATACAAAAATTTAGAATAAAATAAATAAAACTTTAAACCAAAGCTTTGAAGCTAAAGCAATTTGAACACCATACAAAGATTTTAATGTCAAAGTTTAACAATTTTTTTCACATAATTTTGTTCTAACATATACAAATTGTTATATACAGATTTGTAGATAATTTTATAGTCTTTCCAACGATATATAACAACATATATACAAGATCGCCAAAAAATTAGAATAAAATATTGATAAATACAAAAAATGTAACCTTTGAAATCTATTTAGATACAAAAGTTTTGAAGTTCACTTATTTTTCCTCAAGAATTTTCTTCCAAAAATTTAAAAACGTTATATGCAGATTTGTGGATAATTTTATAAGCTTATCAACAATATATAATACTATTGTTATATTATAAATATTTTTAACAAATTAATCGTGGAAAAAAACTGCAACCGATAACACTAATATGAAACTGAAATATTAATAAATATCAAAATCCCAACAATTTCCTCATATATTTTATATAAAAATATATATCATTCAACACTTTGTATCCCATACAATATCATATCTCTCATATAAGTTTTACGATTCCTAATAAAACCCCTTAAACCTTTCAACCCTTTTTAGGTCAATAGAATAGAAAATCTCATAGTACATAAGTTTAAATATTATTTATTGACAAACAGAAAAATTGGTCTTTGAAATTCTGGATTATAAAATATTATGCATTTGATATTATATATTGTATAAAAAGGGTTTAAAGGATGTTATTTACATTTTTTTCAACCCTTGTCATATGCATTAAGGACTTTCATATCAAAAACGTAAAAGATTGCTTAAGAGTGAAATATCAAATTCAAAGTCGTTTTATTCAAAACTTTTATATAGGAGTGTATAAAAGTGTTCCTTAGGAAATGTTGTAAATTGTATCTAGTTTCACCATATCTAACTGAAAAGAGGTAGTTTCTTATAAAATTTTTGAGTTATTTAACAAAAACCAAAAAAAATCCCAAATTTTCCTCCATCTATTTTCCTCCGTATATCTTCACCCCAAATACATAAATCCTCGCCAACATATATGCACACATACGTCAAATTCCCATTACATAATATGTCATATAATTTTGTGAAATATTTTGAAATTTAAATGCAAAAATAAATATAAATTCAGAAATGTGTCACCTGTCGAATGAGATGCCTGTGAGTGTGAAAATGCTCGCAGCTACCGTCACGTTTGCAATAAAGTTGTTTATTGTGCAATACCAGTCGCCGAAGATCCAGTCGCTGGAAAAATAAAAAAAAAATAGTTTTAGTTGAAAATAGTGGTTAAAATTGAGGGATAAGATAGTTGAATGTTTGTTCTAAATTCTAAAAATATTTGCTGCGCAAAAAGTTGGTTTTTAAGACCTTAAATATTAAATACAAAGTGGTAGTTACAATTGTTGGAAAAATAAAATGCTGTAATGACTTGCGTCAGGAATTATTAAAATTTAGCAAAAGTTTTAATGAAAAAATTTACCAAAACTTATTGTAAATTTTAGCTAAGATTCTAGTATAATTTATAAAAATATTTGCCTTGACAAAATGTGACTGTAACAAATTTAAAAAAATATAATAAAATTTTGAGTATTTTTTTATACATTGTCTCATATTTAAGACTAATTTAAAAAAATACCGGGTTGCCATAAAATACTATTTTGTTAGAAAAAATTATAGATTACACAATTTTCAACATATTTTTTAAAAACACGATGAACATTTAGCTCTTAGTTTGAAAGTTAAAAAAGTTGCATCGGAAAAATGTCCTATTTTGTTACGAGTGATATGTAACAAGAATAAAGACATTCTACACGATTTTAAAGTATACCGAGTTACTTTAGAACATTACTATATCAAAAAATAATATAGATTATTTAATTTTAAACAAAATTCTTCAAATGCACTATTTACTTATCACTTTTAGTTCAGAAGTTACACGTAGTGAAACAAATTATGTTTTTTTTCAAGTGCTCTATTAATAAATTCACAAATACGTTTTGTGTACTATAAATAGTATAAATTTATTACACCTATGCATGTATTTATACTCGTATATATCTCTATATATAATTAAATTTCCCCAAAGTGCCAACTTTTCCCTTATTTTCGCCCTTTGTATAAGTTTGATTGGAAAACTAAGAAGTTTTCGCGAACGATTAATTTGTTTTCTGTTTCTGGAATGTTTCTTTCAATGTTCTCTTAAATAGATTAAATCGGTAAGTCGCTTCTTTTGTTAATTTATTAATTGCATCTTTAGAAAATAACTTTTGAAAAGACATATAAAAAAAACAAGATTTCTGAGTGCAAAAATATTTTGTTATAAATTTTATATTAGGTTTTTTGTATAGATTTCCAAGAGCAAGTTGATGTTTTTCACATAATTTTGAGATATATTTGGTTACTAAAATATAATATAAATATAAAGAAAGAAAAAATATAATAAATATAAAGAGGAGAACATTATATACATACTAAACCAGGAAAAAACACAAAGAATATATATAATATTATCTATATAAAAATGGAGCTCTCGATAAAATGATCCGCTAAAACTCGAAAACGGCTAAACCGATTTGGCCAGTCTTATTCTTGAAAAAATCGTGTTAATCAGTAGGTTGTCGGAAAGGTGAGATATTATTTCAAAATTGCGTAGAAACTTTACATTTTTGTGGAAGCGTAATTTGAATAAAACAATGGACGGTGGCTAATACGTCAAGTGTCAAATGTTTTTGACAGATGTTGTTGAATTACGTTTAATAGGATGTTTTACGTGAATATTATTTAATTATGATTAAATTGTAGTAAGTAGTTTTGTTTGTAGTTATATTCATACACAAAATCGTTAGTAAACGTTTTGACGTAAACAAATTGACGGCTTAAAATATATTTTAAAAATATAAAGCGTTGTAATACAGTTATGAAATTATAGTATGTTATTTCTTAATATGTGTACTGAATTTTAAAAATATAAAATCAAATATGTTTCTAACAGAAGAAACTAAAAAATTGCAATGCACACTTGCACACTCTATTTTTATTAGTTGCGAAACGACGGTTTGATATGATATGAGATGTACTTTTGAAAAATGTTTTAAAAATATACAATATTACACTAGAGCTATAAAATTTTAGTATGTTATTACCCAATATATGTACTCAATTATAAAAATATAAAATCACATATGTTTCTAACAAAAAAAGCTATAAATGTGCAATTTTGTAAACAAATTTACTCTCGCATATCTAGTTTCCAATAGTTGCAAGTCCACGGTTTGATGAGTATTTTGAAAAATATTTAAAAATATAAAACGTTATACAAGAGTTACAAACTTTTAGTATGTTATTTCTTGATATGTGTACTAAATTATAAAGGTATAAAATCACACATATTTCTTACAAAAACAGCTATAAATTTGCAATTTAGTAAAATCTTGTAATAGGGCCGCAAGTGTTACTACAAACTCAACAATATCAACTTTTTTGAAATGTTAATATTTTTTTGATTCTCTAGAAATTGTTTAGAATATACCTTACTTAGCGAAATAATGTTTGCCGGGTCAGCTAGTATATATATATATATATATATTTATATATATATATATATATAAATATATATATAAATATAAATATGTATATATATATATATATATATATATATATATTATTTACAAAGTACAAAATTAAATTCACCCCATACGTTATTCGAGACGATCTCTCCACCATTTTTACTTTCATATATAAAAAGCGCTCAATAAATATAATAAAAGTTTTATTTGAATACTTTAGTACTTTTATTCTTCTAAGAAAGGAAACACTCTGGAAAAAAGTCGAAAAAAGTCTTTTGAAGCACACATGCCAGAAATTCCATTAACTGGCGACGGTAGGAGCCAAAAAAAGGAAAAAAATATTAAAAAAATATAAAAAACTAATAAATAGTTAAAGTCCTACAAAAATTAAGAAATGATACCAAATTTAACCATTACCCTATATTTATTTATTATTTAATTATATAGCCCACAGATTACTCCAAGAGGACTCAAAAATACAGTTATTTTACATAATGAATAACAATTAAAATATATACAAAATTACAATATATAGTTATTAACATAAAACGCTTAACATAAAATTACATATAATGCAGAATGTAACAATAATATTTATAAACAGAATAAGATAAAATAATGAGATATTTGAAAAGAAAATAAAAAGGTTAACTTGTGCACATGGAGATTATTTGATTAGGTGAAGTGTTGTGAATATCTATTTCATTATTAATTAAGTTAAAGTTAGAGGACATAAGTAAAATAGGCGAATTTAAGAGAGAATTAGATTTAGGAGTAGGATAATCGAAAAATAATTGTGAATATTAAAGGATAGTTGGTTAAGAATAAGAGGACAGTCTATAGAATTATTGCAAAATTTAAATAAGAACATAATTGTACAGATAAATCGACATGGGGCAAGGGAAGGAATACCAATAATAAATATATAATAAAATATTATTACAAATATTCAATAACTATCTCCATGCAACTATTATCCCCAAAGGTGTGTTTTTCCCCAATTTCGTTGCCGAAACGTGACTTTTTCCTTTCGTAATATTCTGATTATCCGATGGGACGTCCCTGGGACATCCCAAGGACGTGCATAGGACGTAATTTGTGTACTTTTGTTATGTCTTTGTCGGGGTCAGCATGATGACAATTGTTAAGGGACAGGGACAGGGACAATTGTCGAGAAAATAATTTTTTTATTGTCGCAGAAAATAAAGGAGAAACGTGCTTTTAGGAAAGGATAGATTTACATAACTTGCAGAAAAATAAGAAAATTATGAAACGTTATTTACATGTACCGAAAATAATCTTTAACGATCTAAAATAAATTATTGACGTGGAATGAAATGATGTTTTGTAACTTCTACAAAGTTCGTCTGATGTAAATGAAATATTTTGGAAATTTGTTCAAAATTTAATACTGAATAAAATTAAATTCTCTACAATTTTTATTAATATTCTAAAACCGTAAAGTAACTAGGTGTACTCTAAAATTACATTTGAAAATTGCATGAATTAATTTTCATAGATCGTGCTTTTAACAAAAATAGTGTTTTTGTTTACTAAAGCTTAAATAACTTTTTAAATTGTTCAGCAATACTAAATGGCGTATTTAGTTAACTTTTACAGTATTAAATTATCTATGATTTTTGTTAATATTCCAATGGCCTACAGCAACTCGGTATACTTTAAAATCACATTTGAAATCTGCATAAATTTTCTTGCACGCACTTGTAACAAGAATAGTGTTTTTTTCTACTACAGCTTCAATAACTTTTTAAATTGTTCGACAATACTAAATGGCGTATTCAGATAACTTCTACAGTATTAAATTATCTATGATTTTTGTTAATATACTAATACCCTACAGCAACTCGGTATACTTTAAAATTGCATTTGAATGCATGCAATTACTTTTACATATCATTTTCGAAGTCTTGTCTTTTGCATGGGTTTTGAGTACATTTTAGGCTACCAAACCTTAAAAACTAGCTCTATTACTATTTATTATTTACAGTAGGCTTTCTAAAAGTCTAGCCGATTCAATTTAAGCACTTTAAAATTTGTCCAGACAACAATTTCAGGCAATTCATCACATTTAAAGTCGAAAACTGACCGAAAGTTTCGTCTCTGAAAGTGAAAGCCTCTTATGGTAACATACTCGTATTTTGCATATTGGGGGATCCTTTGCAATTTGTCTGGGAAATAAATTGAGATATAAAGGACTTTGTATTTATTATACACACGTATTTGAATATTAATTTATTCGTAAATTAAAATGTCATTTTGGCTCTGGCATGAATATAAATGATAGCAACAGTAATAATATAAATGATAGCAATAGTATTAAAATAAATAATATTTTTTTTAGTTTTGGAGGCAATTTTAGAGTTGCTGTAGGTCATTATAATATTTGACAAAATTATTCATAATTATATATTAAATAAATTTTCCTAAAATTATATTTAAATTACACCAACAGTTTAGAATTTGCAGCCAATATAAGATGTGTATGTGCAAATAAATCGACAATTAGAGTATTAAAGTTTGAAACACGTTTTAGAGTATACCGAGTTGCTGTAGGTCATTACAATATTCGGTAAAATTATTGATTATTTTATATTCTAAAATTTTTCTTAACACTGTATTTAAATTACACAAATAGTTTAAAAATTATAGAAGATATAA